AAAGATCCAGAACTACTTCCCCCACCCAAACGCTCCCCCTAGTCACCCCACTCTCTGTCTCACCGATGCTGTCCCTGCTCCCCCCACCCCAAACCCCTCCACAGCTGCTCCCTCCTTGCGTCCCTCCTGTGCCCAGCCTCTGCCTGCCGTGGAGCTCATGCCACCGACACTGTTCTTCCCCAGCAAAGACCGTAGGAGACTTAAGGGCTGTGTGAGGGAGTGTCCTGTGTGTGGCAGAAGGGACAGTGACTCCTGGCACTCCCCGGGGTTAATTTCTCCCAGCCTCAGGCCTGCAGCTGAGCCCTCCTCTGGGCACAAATGTGATTCAGTTTCACACATACCCAGTTATCACTTGGGAAAGCAGCAATTGACATATCAGAGGGGCATTAGCAACTGGCCTGGAGGGCTTCCCCATTTGGAGGGAACAGTCTTAGCCCAGAACAGTCTAGAGGCCGTGGCCCCCCTCACACCTCCCCGTGCCCAGCGGGGACCCAGCCCTGCCCTGCCGCTGCCCAGCAGCTCTTGGTAAGGTGCTGCTTCCCACGCAGCCCGTGTTTGCTGGTCCCTCCCTTCTGGATCGAGCTACGTTTTGCTCTCATAACACAGGGTCACCTCCAAGGCGGCGATCAGGGCACGGGCTGCTCGCGGAGCCAGGGCCACCAGTGCCACTGCCCACTGGGCTCTGGCTGCTTTGTGGCTGGGACTTGCAAAGCAGCCAAACATGGGCTCGGACAGCTGTGGCTTCCCAGGCTGGTACTAAAGGCCCCGTTGTTGCCCACTGAGTGGGGGTGCTCTCTGCACCCGCTGGGGCAATGGGACACCATGAAGGTCCCATAGGGTGTCTGCCATCCCTGAAGAGCAAGTGCTTCCTTGGCTCCAAGAGAGAGCGTTTCTGAATCTTTTCCATGCAGGTAGTTGTGGGGAACAGTTAAGTTATTACTTATAAAATCTTTTGAAAATGAAGAGACTCCTGCCCTTCTGTTATTATTATATATACAATAATAATGTATGTTATTATATAAATTTTAATATTGTAATCTATATTATAATAACATCCTCCAGGATTTATCACTGAAGCTGCTGCTGGTGATGGAAGTTTCTTATAGCCACAAATGGTCGAGCTTGATTTAAGGAGCCATTGTTTATATTGTTTATATGGGTAAACCCATCATAAATAGAAGTGGCTCATTTACTACTGCGCTAAAAGAGACGGGAGCAATCACCAGTGCAATATTGCCATCTCCACCTCAGTCCCCAGCACCTTCCATATCAGTGCAAAGCTCCCATAGCTGGGGCTGTTGCTGATGGGAGATTTGCTGCCCCACACATGGCAAACCCCTGCAAGGGGCCCTGCACATCTCTCCTGCCTCAGACTGGAGCCTGGTGACAGGTTTTTGAGCAACAACCTGGGTGGTCTCAGCACCCGGCAGTGCGGTGCTGATGGCAGGGAGGGCATTTGATGCACCTGGTGGAAGACACCAGGACAGAAGGGCTTCAAAGAGGGCCAGAACAGACAGAAGCAGAGCTGGTCTGTGGTACAGTAAAGGTGAGACCCTTGCTGTCGCCTTGGAGGAACCCTGTAGATGCAACTCTTGCAGAGTTGCCTTGTGGCTTGCTGGCCTGTTTGGGACTGCTCAGTCCTGTGATACGCCTGAAAATTGGGCCAGACAAGCCAGTAGGAAACCAGAGCACCACTGACATCAGGAAAGAGTTTTGTGGGTTTTTTTGTGGAAACAACCCTCTCAGTTTTAAGAAAAAATAAGCAAAACAAAACAAATCCCACTAGTTTGCAGCAGAGCAAATGCAGAAGAGCCCTGGAAATGGCCTTTGTTCCTGGAGGCTTGCAGAGGGATTCATCTGGGACTCAGACATCAGTGATGGGGTAATTCAGGAAAACCCTCACGAAAAGGTGCAGCCGTTACTGGGAGCAGCATCCTCATCTCCTCCATTCTGGCCTTGGTCCCACCACGGCTCACGTGGGTGCCGAGCCCCCAGAGCAGCAGGGCTGGGTGCTCACACCTGCTGCACGGTGGCCCAGGACTGGGCAGTACTGCAGCTTGTCCGGCCCTGGACAAACCTGAACAGCAGCATTAAAGAGCCCACAGTGAGATCTCGCTTTCTTGCAGTTGTACCCAAGGCCTCTTCCAACCCGTAAGTAAATACGCAGCTGAGCAGAGGGGGACAGAAAACCCCCATCCCACCCCCCATCCCAGAGCCCTGCTCTCCACCAGCTCTGGGTGCTGGGGCTGCAGCAGGAAGATCCTCCCCCTGTGCCCCCCATGCCAAGTGGCTTTAGTCCCTCTGAGAACCCAAGGATCGATACAGAAGTACGGCTGGAAAAGAAAAGGAAACAGAGCATAAAATGATCTGCGAGACTCCAATTCACTCTCAGGGGTGCAGAGGGTGCCTCTGCCACGTACAGCACTGAGAATCATACAGAGCTGCAATATAGAGATCTTTCTATGTATATATTTATAGGTATGTATATATTTATAGTGCACTGCATTTAAAACAGTCGGGCCTGCTTCTTCAGCTCGTTCCTCTTCCACAGGGCCAGGCGGTCGAACTCGGCGATGGTCATACCGAAAATCTGGTAGAACTCCTCCTGGGAGAGGTGGCGCTGCGGAGAGATGGAATGCTGGACCAGGGCTGGGGATCGTGGCCACCACCTGGGCCTAATGGCCAACACACAGGCCATATGGCTGCAGTGTGGAGAGAGGTCTGATGGGTGCAATGGGGTGCTATGACCCCCAAAAGCACTCACTCAGGAGAACGGGAGCACCCGGCTCCCTCCTGTTCCTGCCAAACACACTTGTGCTGTGGCATGGGGAACAGCTCTGCCCAGTCAGAGAAGCAGCAGGACCACCGTGAGAGTGTCCTTGCACATACGTGCTCCTGGGGAGCCATGGAGATGCTCCTCACATGTCCACGAGCCCTCTGTGGCCCCATGCTGCCTGCCACAGCTAAGGGAACACCCCAAGGGATTGGTCCCTCCAAGCCCCAAGGAGACTGTCCCCAGGGGAAAAGGCTCTCCTCACCTCTAATCGAGTCCTGTCCACATCTTTGGGCAGCTGGTTCCTCCCCCTTGTCTTCACCAGGAGCAGCTCATAGGGGTATATCTGCACAGGGACAGGAAGACCATGGGATACCTTTGAAGCCAGATGAGGAGAGCTGGGGCACACCTGGGAATGAGGCCATGGGGACCACCAGAGCAAAGCCTCCTCCTGCAGTGTTTAGCAGGGTTTGGGTGGCACAGATGCCTCCAGGGCTTGGATGGGACAAGGCAGAGGGGGGAATTTGCTCTCAGGGTGACCTCAATCCATGTTGAATCACCTTGGTTGCTCTGGAATAGCCTGCTCACTCTGCAAAACCAGGAGTCACCCAGGGACAAGCACGAGCAGGGAACCACAGCACAACCACCCTTCTCTGTTCCTTGCCTGGGAGACACTTCTGCTTGGCCAAGTGCTTGGGACCCTGGCAGGAGGTGAAAGACTCTGGTCTGAGCCTCACAGTCCCAGGACAGGGCTGTAGGGTGAGGGATGAAGGTGGGGCATTGTGGGCAGAGGGCAAAGCTTTCTCATAAAGGGCCTTGGAACACAGTGACATGTCTCTGGGACTCGTTCTGAGCAGTACTCACACCTCTGGCTGGCAGCCACTCCTTGGATCAGGAGCATCTTACCTTGTACTCTGTGGGGAGAGAGAAAATACAAGAGATACATGAGCCACACTGACCCCTCTGCTGCCAGGATGCTCCCCCTGGGGCTGCATGGACCCCCACCTGTCTCCCCACTTCTCCCTTCAGCCTGGACCCCATTTTCCAGAGCTGCCTGCAGTGGGGTCAGCAGCCCCACCGCATCTGGCTCCCCCAGCCCTGCAGTGCCTTACCTCGCATCCCCCAGTTGACCGCGTTTGTGCTGTCGTAGTGGAAAAGCTCAGCACTGGGAGGCTGTGGGAGGTACAGAGGGAGGGAGGAGTAAGAGAGAATCCCCCCCAGATACTCATTGCACCTCCCATGTCCCCAGGGGTGAACGCACCCATCCACCCCAAAACAGGACCTGCTCCCCACACTTGGCATTGCGGAAACTGAGGCGCAAGGAGCTGTAGTGACAAGCCCAGGTCACGCAGAGGCAGGACCATCTCTCATCGCCCAGCAATTGTTACCCCAGGGTATAAAGCAAAGCTCTTGTGCTGGGAAGCAACACAAGCATCCCTCTGAAATGTGCCCTGCAGGAGGTTCAGGACAGACACCTCTGTCCTGCAGTGCCTGGAAAGGGAACTTTAATCCCCAATAAGGGTCCTTTTAGATTGGCATAGATCTGCAGTGACAGCAGGGTTGCAGAGAAGAGAGGGAACAGGATGCCCCATGAAAGGGGAGCACTGGGGGCATTGAGGAGCCTGAGGAGAATGATGAAGGTGCAGAGATGCCTGACAGCAGCAGGGTGCAGGCAGGAGGCACTCACCCTGTGCAGCCCGTTCCTCCTGTAGGCAGGAAGGGAGGCCGACTTAGAAATGAGGGGATCTGCAAAGAAACCATGGAAGTGCATAAGGGAAAATGCAGGGGTGAGCCCCACACCCTGGGTGAGCACTCACTGGGGCACCCTACCCCAGTGCTCCCACACTGCTTCCCAGCTCCACATTCATCCAGCTCTGTCTCCTTCCAGTTCCAACTCGTTTTCAGCCTGGCTTCCTCCCATGCCAATATTCATCTCCCCCAAACCCCTTTCCCACGGCAGCCCACCCACTTCACCCTTTGGTGCAACACAAGTGTTTCTGCCAGTTTCTCTGACTCGTCCTCTCTCACTGCTGCCACCAGCTTTGCCCTGGTTCAGCTCCAGCCCAGCCTTTCAGGGGCTCCTTCTTCTCTCCCGTTCCTCCCTCCCTGGTCTCAGCATCTCCTCTGGCTCAGGACCCCACAGCCACAGAGGACCAGCCTCAGAGGGCTGCAAGCTCGCACACTCACCGCTGTCAGCCAGGTAATGCGTCCGGGGAGCTGCAAGAAGAGCAGAGCTGGGTGTCAGGGAGGACCATGCACCCCACGCCATGCAGGACTGCCCAGTTGACAGCCCCACAGGTCCTCCTGGGGGGTCCCAGGAACCCAGTGCGCCTGAGGGGCTCCCTGAGCATCTCTGAACAGTCCCAGCCAGACAGCATGGAGCTGGCAAGGGTATCTGCACTGCTGGGCTCCCCAGATGCCACCAGACCCCCCCACCCTGCAGCCCCAAGGGGAGAGGGGCTGGGTGCCCCGCGTCCTGTGTAATGAGAGCAACATAAGCAAGGCAGGCAACCCTGAGGGGAGTCAGCAGGTCTGGGGCGCCAGGAGGTCCCCGATGTGCTGTTACGGAGGAGGTACACACACAGCAAGTTCAAAACAGGTCCAAGCAAACCTAGTGTGGCTGTGCTGTGAGATTCCCAAGGGATCACCCCATGAGGCACTTCACCAGGCTGCTCGGACAGACTGCACTCACCGGGTGATGCCCCATCCCAGCAGGTGCACAGGGAATGGATAGAGCTCTCTGAGAGGAAAAGAGCCTCCCAAGTCCAACTCTGCTGCCCAGCACCTCTTCCAGCAGCCCTTCCCAGTCCCCTGTTCTTCCCTCTCCACCCCAGCAAACTTCCCACATGGCTAGGGACATGCCAGGTAGGACAGACAGACAGACAGGGTCATCCTTACAGCCGTTGAGAGAGCCGTCGTAGCCAGCCGTGTGCAGGGCTTCTCTGCTGCTGGCCGAGCTGCGAGGGGGTGTCCATGGATCTGCATAGGAGTTGGACCGAGCCTTCATCTCCTCCCTCAGGATCAGCCTACCGATGCCACTCTGGATCTGGACAGGGTGGGAGGCTGCTTTAGACTCCTCCTTTCCCTGCCTAGCTCTCCCTGCCTGCTGGCACATCGCAGCAGGACATGGCACTTCCCATCCCCTATCTGCTACCCCGTGCCTGAGAATGAGGTGCTGGGGTGGGATGCCTCCTTCAGACCTCACACTGGAGGTGGCCAAGTGGGAAGAGATGGCAGAGGGCAGCCAGGATAGTAGTGGCCCCTTCTTAGATGGCATAGATGGGCTAAGTCTCCCACCCAAAGCCAACCACCACGGTAGTAGATTGCTGCCAGCCCTTCCCTGCCAGGCTAAGAACAGGGAGATCACTCACCTTGTGCATGCCCCGGTCGTACCCATCCTCCTCGCCTCCTGACGAGAACCTCCGGGCCCGGGGGGCTGCAAGGAGACACATGGGAAGGTCAGACAGGGAAGAAATTAGAGGCAGGTGGGGAGGAAACAGTCCCCAGCTGCATGGGGACAGCTGAGTTGCAAGGGCTGCTAGGATTTTGGGGTCACTTTGGTAGTATCTCAACCCAACTCCACCTTCAGGTCCAGATGCAACTTGGTGGGGGTCCCTCCCAGGGAATGAATGGGGGAAGGAATGGGCCTCCCTTTCCCCAAGCTCAGTGGGGGGGCTGTTACCTTTGGGGGAGCCTTGGAAGGACCAGTACTCCGACTCAGAGTGGTAGTAGGGGTCCGGGGAGTAGGCAGGGCTATACTTGGATGACTGCGCAATGTCTTCACTGGTTTTGCTTTTTGTGGCTGCAGGGAGGTTGTCTGCAAAAGGAACATGCAGAGCTGTGATGAGGACCCTGAGTCCCACCAGCAGGACCTGCAAAAATCTACCCTGAGATGAAGGCAAATACTCTTCCCTCCCCACTACCAGAGCCGACCAGCAATTTATGTCTGGGATAGCACGGAGCAGAGCTAGGAACAATCCATTTCCAAACTGCTGACTCCTCCTGGAGACAAGGGTGCAGAGGCAGGCAGTGGGGACAGTGACAAGCAGAGGGGCAGTTGCTGACGCGGCTGGGAAGGGACTCACCCAGCTCATAGCCCACAGCACCATGACAAGCTCTGGCTCCTGCACAGTGCTCACCCCAGC